CCCCCCCCCCCCGCCGGGGCCGGGGCCCCCGCAGACCCCCAACTGGACCAGGTCTGGGTCCCCAGACTGGGACCAGGTCCAGAGGAGGTCTGGGTCCCCAGGCTGGGTCCAGGTCCAGAGGAGGACCGGGTCCCCAGACTGGGACCAGGTCCAGAGGAAGACCGGGTCCACAGGCTAGGACCAGGTCCAGAGGAAGATACCTGGAACAGACCCAGAAAAGCAGAACTTGAATTGAATTGAATTGAATTGAACATTGAATAGAATTGAATTGAATTTAATTGAATATTGAATTGAATTGAATTGAATTGAATTTAATTTAATTTAATTTAATTTAATATTGAATTGAATATTGAATTGAATTGAATTGAATTGAATTGAATTGAATTTAATTGAATTGAATTTAATTTAATTGAATATTGAATTGAATTGAATTGAATTGAATATTGAATTGAATATTGAATTGAATATTGAATTGAATATTGAATTGAATTGAATTGAATTGAATTGAATTGAATATTGAATTGAATTGAATTGAATATTGAATTGAATATTTAATTGAATATTTAATTGAATTGAACTGAATTGAATATGGGGCTCATAGCAGACGCTATCAGACTGTTGTAAATCGAAAGGAAAATCTAACCAGCCCTGATAGGCTACTGGGTCTGTACTGGCTACTCTGATCCTTAGCTTAGCTTATTGTAGCTTATCTTAGCTTGTTTTAGCCTTAGTTTAGCTTATTTTAACTTAACTTTGTTTAGTTTATGTTAGCTTAGTTTAACTAAGCTTACTTGGGCTTGGCTCAGTTTAGCTTAGTTTAATATACAGTATATCCACTCAGTTTATCTTAGCTTAGTTTTAGTTAAGCTTAGTCTAGACTGGTTTATGTTAGCTTAGTTTAGCTAAGCTTACTTTATCTTATTTTAGTATATCTTCATTTATTTTAGCTTAGTTTAGTACATCTTAGCTTAGTTTATCTTAGCTTGGTTTTAGTTAAGCTTAGTTTAGCCTATTTTATGTTAGCTTAGTTTAGCTAAGCTTAATTTAGCTTATTTTAGTATATCTTCACTTATTTTAGCTTAGGTTAATATATCTTAGCTTGGTTTATCTTATCTTAACCTAGTTTAACCTAGTTTATCTTATCTTAACCTAGTTTAGGTTAAGATAAGACTATCTCATCTTAGATGAGTTTAGCTATGCTTACTTTACCTTAGTTTGTTTTAGCTTGGTTTAGCTTACTTTACATTTGCTTAGTTTAGCATATCATAGTTTAGATCCTCTTAGCTTAGTTTAGTTAAGTTTACTGTAGCTTACTTTAGTTTAGCTTAGTTTAGCTTACTTTACATTAGCTTAGTTTAGTATATCTTAGCTCAGATCCTCTTTGCTTAGTTTATCTTAGCTTAGTTGAGCTAAGTTTACTGTAGCTTACTTTAGCTGAGTTTAGTTTAGCTTACTTTACATTAGCTTAGTTTAGTATATTTTAGCTTAGATCATCTTAGCTTAGTTTATCTTATCTTAGTTGGCTAAGCTTAGTTTAGCTAAGCCTACTGTATCTTTGCTTAGCCTACTTTACCTTAGTTTATATTAGACTAGTTTCTCTCATATTAGCTAGACAAACCCACTGACCCTGTATAAGAAAAACTACCTGAACCAGGACAAAGTCTGGTTCTTAAACTGATCAGAGATCTGGACCAGAGCAGAACCAGATAGAAGCTAAATAGAGATAGGAGGCTAAAGGTCCAATTAGCTATCATACCTTCATGACCTGGTGCACCTGGACGCTGGCCTCGGGGGGGTGCTGCACACTGACCGCCACCATCTGGGGGCTGGGAGCTGCACAAAGGTGGAGGAAACAAAACTATCAGGAGTTCTGACCCGGTTCTGGTTCAGTCAGCGGAACCAGAACAGCTTCGAATGAGGCTGAGGGAACAAATGATCCAGATGTTCTGAAAAGTGTTTAGAAGTTTGAATAGACAGAATAAAACCTGAAACAAATTTGAAAGAAAACAAAGTAAAACCGTAAATGTTAAAAAAAAAAATATATATATATATATATTAAAAAAACAAAGCTAAGCTAAAGTAAGCTAAACTAAGCTATCATAGACTAAGCTAAGATACATTCAACCATTTGGAGCAGAAAGCGGTTCTGAGGTTCTGAGTTGGTTCTGAGGAGGTTCTGATGTGGTTTTGAGGTTCTAAGGAGGTTCTGAGGCAGGTGTTATATTCTTAAGCGGTTCTGAGGAGGTTCTGAGGTGGATCTGAGGTGGTTCTGAGGGGCTTCTGAGGCAGTTTTGAGGTTCTGA